CTAAAATATATAGGACCTAAATCACTCTTATAGCATAGACAGTGTCCCTGAGACCGCTCTGTCAATTATTTAATAGGACAAATATTACGTAATTAATTATGATGATTGATTTCTAAGCCAAATGATGCAATAGTAATTTTCCAACACAAGTTATCATGATATTCTGAGTTCACCTAGAAATATCTATGGTTTGGTTTATAAATCTTTTTATGTGTACTTATTTTAATTTGAGTACGACTTGGATGCTAATGGCTGGTTCACAAACGACAAAATAATAACACAAGGTACAATTTTATAGATACACAATCACTGAGTTTAATACTAAACGACGTTTCGGCGAGGATACTCTCGTCTTTATCAAGCAAATGATACAGGTATGTGAATAGTAGGCAAATATATACAGAATATGCAACAAAGATAAGAATCAAATACAATTAAATCTTAACACCTTTGATTGGGGGGGGGGGCATTTACAACTTAACATACACATCGGAAACTCTTACAGGGATTAAAAGGAGGGGAATTCTATTATTTATAAAGATCGATGTGTTAAAACACTATTAATGGGAAACCAATTAACCTGAGCTATAGATAAACAATAATATAAAGAGAAGTGTGTGGGAAAATCATAAAAGATAAAACTTATAATTCGACTGTAAAATTGGACGGGGAAAACCGTAAATATATTAATTCAATAAACTGAAAAATCGAGGATTGTGAAATATATCTCCAGACTGTAAAACTTAAAAGTACTGAAAACCAAGAAATGTAAAATGTATAATAATTAGACTGTGAAAAACTGGATATGCACTGAAAAAGTATGGGAGTCAATAAGTTGGAAATCATGAAGGATATAACCTATTATTAGAGTATAAACCTCGACGAGAGAAACCGTAAATATATTAATTCTATGAATTGAAAGTCAATAAAATATATTTTTCAGTTTATTGAATTAATATATTTACGGCTTCCCCCGTCCAATTTTACAGTCGAATAATAAGTTTTATCTTTTATGATTTTCCCACACACTTCTCTTTATATTATTGTTTATCTATAGCTCAGGTTAATTGGTTTCCCATTAATAGTGTTAACACATTGACCTAGTTTGTGTCGAGTGGACGTTAAACTCCATTTCTCTCTCTCTCTAATTGGTTTTCCATTAATAGTGTTAATACATCGATCTTTATAAATAATAGGATTCCCCTCCCTTTAATCCCTGTGTAGGTTTTAGTTGTAAATGGCCCCCTAATCAAAGGTGTTAAGATTTAATTGTATTTGATTCTTATCTTTGTTGCATATTCTGTATATATACTATTCAAAAAAAGTAGGGGATATTTGATTTTTAAGTGTTATTAAAGTCACCTAATGAAACTGACGAAGAAACAAATGACAAAATGAAATGAAGTTCACATTCATCGATTTATTCCAAATGATCGTTAGACTAAGTAAGGCACAGACTGACCATTATAAGGGTAAAATGATACCCGGGGTCAAACAGCAAAGTTACCACAGCATCACAACCAAGTCAGTAACGGGTAAATCCTCCTCTGTTTGCCAAACAAGCATTGATCCGACGTGGCATACTCCTAATGAGACGTCTAAGGTCATTTTGGTCCAGATTGTCCCATTCCTGTTGCAACGCAGCAGCAAGTTCTTGGACATTGGCAGGACGTTGTTGACGTTGACGTAACCTCTGTCCAAGCATGTCCCAGACATGCTCGATGGGGGAGAGGTCGGGACTCAGTGCTGGCCACGGTAATGTGGTGATGTTCTGTTGTTGGAGGTAACCTGTAACGATCCTGGCCCTGTGACATCTTGCGTTGTCATCCTGGAAGATGAAACGGCGGCCATGACGTCGTGCGAACGGCACAACATGGACTGCCAAGATGTTGTCCCGGTAGTACTGGCCTGTAACACGCCCTGCAACAACATGTAAAGCCGTTCTTCCAGCAACAGTGATGCCTCCCCACACCATAACAGAACCACCCCCAAATCGATCATGTCTGATGACGTTAACGTCTTGGAAGCGCTCGTTTCGACGACGCCACACCCTCCTACGTCTGTCCAAAAAATCAACAGTGAACCTTGACTCATCTGAAAACATCACATTGCTCCAGCGTCGATTATCCCAGTGTTGACGATCCCTACACCAACGACGTCTTGCCTGAATGTGATGATCTCTCAAACAAGGGATCACGCGAGGACGTCGGGCGCGAAGGTGACCCCTATGCAGTCGATTCCGAATCGTCTGGCCACTCACTCTCACACCAGTGTCTGTTTGAAGACGAGCGCTGATCTGATTTGCTGTGATGACACGATTTCTCAAGGCCAAGGTACGGATAAATCGATCCTGGGCTTGAGTTGTCGCCCTTGGTCGACCTGAGCGTGGTCTGTCCTGTACAGATTGTGTATCACGGTATCTGGACCATAGCCTGCTTATGACAGACTGAGAAACATTCATCGTCCGCGCCACAACCGCCTGTGTTGTGCCGATCTGTAGCATGCCAAGGGCACGTAACCTTTCATTTTGGGTAAGCCGACGCATATCAAAATTTGTTTTCTGGTCACTAAAACAATTAAACTGATGTTTCCACCCTGGAATTCAATGCCACAATGACTGTAACATTCAAAGTCAGAGTCGTGCAAATCTTGGGTTGGACCCCCATGATGATCCCAAGCATCACCTGCATTCCATGCGGTAGCTATTGGTGCGTTTGGGCGTCACATGTAACTGGAAATGTTTCTTCTGTTAGGTTCTATAGTGGCTTTTTTCGTAGTCATTTGCATATTTTAGTATTATGCCCCCAAAATCAAATATCCCCTACTTTTTTTGAATAGTATATTTGCCTACTATTCACATACCTGTATCATTTGATTGATAAAGACGAGAGTATCCTCGTCGAAACGTCGCTTAGTATTAAACTCAGTAATTGTGTATCCATAAAATTGTACCTTGTGTTAATATGATTAATTACTAAATGCCAATCAAAGAAGACAAAATATTAATTTACAAAAACGTTTGTATTTCAAGTTGATTAGATATTACAATAGATTTAAAAAAACAACAACAACAACATATGGATGTAAATCATTTCTATACATTCGTATCACATTAATATGTGCTTTTAGACCGACAAACGGCTTTTTTAATGTCCCAAATAATACAGTTATTCTCCCTGAAATAGAAAATTAAATGGTTTTATAACATGTATGGTCTGGTGATACATTGGTTGGTTAAACTGACTGACATAATTATTTCCAGTTTACACTAAATATGTTATTTCCTTGTACACAAAAATGTCAACAGTTATATAAATTGTGGTATAAATATACACTACATGTGTAAGCCTGATGATTAATTAGGTACATGTAATTGGTTCGGGTTGCCCTGCCCCAAAATAACATTTCAGAACGTTATATTTTTGCAAGTGATGATTAAGGAACTTCTGTCCAAAACCTTTTAGTCCTTACAGCTTCCCAAGAAACAAAACCACCTGGATAATTACATTTTTGTACTCAACGATGAAGGGTTTTCAGCACAAACACTGTTTAGTGCTACAAGCTTCTCAAGAAACAGACCCGACTGGACGACCAGGACATAATTGAAATTTACAATCTAAACATTTTTTAGGTCTGTGTCTCATTTTTCCCAAACATTTATTTTGAATTTATTTAATCCATTTCATTTTGTGAGTAGGCTATGAAATTAATATAACCAGCGTTATTGCCGAATCCCGAATAAAATACTGGCCACCCAACTTTACTACTACGGTCGGAGGTAGCGAGAAAATGGTCGGATGCAAGGAAGACCGATCTGTTTTAGTGCCGAAACCCGAATAAGGCGCTGACTACTCAACGTTCACTTACCCCTACTGTCGGGATAGCGAGTGAAGGTCGAATGCAAGGTAGGCCGGTCTGTTACCATGCCAAATTCCAAATCTGGATCGTTATCCGTCATTCGCGAATCCCGAAGCCCGTATCACGTGCCATCTTTACGTTGCCTTTAAAACACACATACACTTTAAAGTATGACAAATTCTAATACACATCAGTTTTGATAACACAAAATCTACCAACTATGATGTATTTCATCAAAGTAGCATTCTTTATATCTTAGTGGTTTCCACTTCGGGAGTCAGGGTGACCCAATGAGTAATGCACTGGCTGGCTCCGCTGTCTGGCAAAAATCGCCTCATAGCACACTACGTGGCATATGACCGTCTTCAATAGACATCATACCCCCTTTCATCTCATTTACACTTTATGACATTATGGACTGTTTAACAATAATGTATACTATATCACTCTACTAAGTGAACTTACTTGGTCTTAGAGAAACTTATCAATTTTACAATCTGTCTAATAAAATGACAAATTGACACTTTTTCCCGTGAATTATGATGCACCGAGATGACAAAATATAAGAACATAAAAACTACTGTAATACTTCACACATAAGTGTACTATTAAGATGGCCATGAAAGAGAAAACGATACATAACAACTGACATCCTATTATATAAGGGTTATAATAGTGTTATTATTGAGGTTTTGCTTCTCCCCTTAACCATGAAATGAAATCCGGTTTACCCCCCCCCCCCCCTAGTTTTCTGCATCAATCGGGATATTGAAGATCGTGATGCGCGATGAAGTGTGCTACGTCGTATGTGGTAAATTTGAGAGGGGCACAGGCGTTTTCGCCTATTTTTCTTCGAATTCCAACAGAAAGGAGTTCTTTAACATGCACCCATCCCTTCCCGTCAAAGGGTAAACCAGCGCTTTCCATAGGAACTGTCTCGATATACACCGGTGTCAATATATCTTGGTTAGTGGGCCAGCATCTTGCTTAGAAGAAACCCGTCCCGAAAACCGGCCTCTCTATTTATGTCTATAAATAGAACTAGTTTGCAAGGATTACGTAAAGATAAAAATACATTATTTATTCATTCATTGCATAAATGTCAGTTTTCTGTCACTTTGAGGTACTTTCGGATACAAATTATGTCTAAGAAAATAAACCGGATGCAGTACCTTGGCAGGATTTGGTGAACGCCCTTTAAATATAGATATAATGCAAGTCTAATATTGTAAACAGTATAATGATAGATCAGCCTTGAATACGTGTAACTTCCTCATCATGATGTTACGACTATTTCTGATATTTTCCCTATGTATATGTAACTGGATTTTGATAATGGGAGTTGCCGGTGATGGATTATGGCGAAAACTTTTTTTCTCGTCTCCTGAATTTGTATTTTGGCTTATAGGTAAGTTGTCGATTAAATGTTAAATTAATACCCACTGCATGTTCAGGTTAAACTAGATTTAATAATAATATCTAGAACTGCGATGCAGTGCTGAAGGGTTTCACAGGTGACCTTCTGTCTTACGGCAACGTCACTTCTCATACCGATGAAAGTCGATACCTTTTACCAGACATTCAGAAATATCAGATCAATTATATATTTGTAGGTGACATTTTAATGGCATGTGTTGATAATACTGAGGATTCAACTTTAATGCAAATTGACATTTTGGTCCTACATGAAATGCCTTCTGAAATGAACACAAATCTTAATTTATTCGTTTATTGCATTAGCATTACCCAAAGCACAAATAACATAGGTTCTGCATTAATCCAGTCCACCCGATTTTAATGATGCCTTATGAACGCGATAAATGTTACGGTTTTAATGGATTTTTTTTCAAACTTTGGTGGTCAGTTACGAAGTACCAACATCATCACTTTAAAGTATTGCGCATGCGCGGGATAGTCGTTACTTTTGTATTAACTGTAAAATATTTTCTATAAGTTTTATAGTTATCGATAACGGATGTGATATATTTTTGTTCTATAGTTGATGAATAGGACCGTTTGATGTGAAGTACATGTATTGTGCCTACTGTTTACCTTAGCTATTGTGAAGAATCATTAATTAATATGCATTTAACATTTTATTCATGTAGTCATTAATTTGTATAATTTAAATCAATTAATTACTTCTCCTACTAGATATAACGAGTATGGCTGTAATTCATGTTTAGACCGGCTTTTGACAAATTCACCTACGTATGTCAAGAATTCTGGCATTTTGACTAATTTTTGTAGTGACCATATTCCTGTCAACTCCAATTTAACAGCCCGAAAGTTCACTGCTTTGAAATGGGTATCTGGGACTACAACAACATTGTTATTCGGCCTTGTTACATACACTGTTAATACTGATTGGAAATCATTTTAAAAGATAGTGATGTGGATGAATCTTGTATCAAATTCACAAATAAGTTGACGGGTATAGCAAACACAAATATTCCAAATAAAGTAGTCATAATTAGACCTAGAGACAAATCATGGTTGAACAATGAAATAAGGAAACTTAGTAGATTCAAAAATAAACTTCATAAGAAAGCAAGAAAGTCAGATTTGGCAGCCCAATGGGGAAAATTTCGTAAAACAGGGAATGACTATATTTTCTTAATTCGGCAATGTAAAAAACTACACTTTGAACAGCTGGGGACTTTGGCAAACACTGGTAATAATTTTAGTACTAAATCCTGGAGGAAATTAGTCAACTCATTTGTGAAAGATAAGGGTTCACACGGATTCTATTCCTCCGTTAAGCGACAATAACACCATACATATTACCCCAAAATATAAAGTAAATTGCCTTAATGATTATTTTGTTCGTCAGGCAACACCAGATGATACAAATTATACACTTCCTTCATTGAAATATGCACAACACACGATTATTAACATTGTTTTACCTCTGTTATATCAGTAAAGCTTTTGACAGAGTCTGGGACACTGAACTATGTCAGAAACCCGACGTCTCTGGTGTCAGAGGTGACCTACTCCTCTGGTTTAGAAGTTATCTATGCAACAGACAACAAATGGCGGTACTGAGTAGTATCTTCTCTGACCCAGGGATGTAACTGCTGGTGTTCCACAGGGCTCTGTTCTCGGGCCTTTCCTTTTTTTAATGTACATAAACGATATTATCGAATTATAGAATCAAATATAAAGCTATTTGCCGACTTTATATATCAATCGAAGATCCGACCGAATGCGTGCGTGTTTTAAATCAAGATATTAAGAGAATAAATGAATGGTCAAAGATATGGCTGATATATTTTAATACCCTCAAAACGGAAACTCTCGCGATTTCAGTTAAGACACAGCACAATGTACCTCACCCTTTCATGGGGTCGGTACAAATTAAAGAAGTAAAAGAATATTAACATCTTGGCGTTTTCTTCCAGTCTAACGGCAAATGTCATTCACATGTAAATTCAATCAGTCAAAACGTGTATTAACGTGTTTCGTTCATTGAAATACCGATTAAACCGAAAATCCCTAAAAACTATCTATACCTCTTTCATGCTGCCACGTTTTGATTATGGGGATTATATATGGAACGGTTGCACAGATCACTTGTCCAATCAGCTTGCCCACCTGCACCTTGACGCACCCCGCACTATCTCCTGTAAAAGGAACCAGCCATTCCGTTCTCTACAGTGGAGCGGGTTTCATTACCCTACGTGAAAGACGCAGGCGACATAAATTAATTTTGATGTACAAAATTTTAAATAATATAACCCCAGACTATCTCTCTGCTTCGGTTTACTTCCGGGGTGAGATGTGTCAATAACGTAATATTCGAAATTCGAAAAGGGTAGATTTAAAGTAAATGTTTCAAGGTACTCAAAGAAACAAAAATGAGTAAAATAGGTCAAAAAGTTACAGTTATGTGGATCTTTTTTTTGTCAGTAAAATTCGGTGAATTCGGATTCGTAAAACGTTTTGAAAATAGTTTTAATCCAAAGCCACCATTTTTTTTTGGGGGGGGGGGTAGGTCAAAGTTTCAGAAAGATCCTATTGTTAGATTCTGAGATGTAAGATTTGCAGGACCCCCCTCCCCCGACACACACACACAAAATAATAATCTTAACAGAAACAGTAAGCTTTCATTTTTCACAATAAGCGTTCGTATGCAGTATGAAAACTTATTAATAATAGATACCAAGTGAAACAAATTCTTATTGTTTTTGTCACTTCAGATCAAAATATTCAGGGAGGTGATGGTGGTGATGATAATGATGCAGGAGACCCACTGTTAGATGCATATTGCACATATTTAAAAGAACAGGGTTTGACTTCAAATCTGTGTGTTTAAGGGCCGGACACTTAAAACATACACAGACGGTGTTCTATATTATGTTGAATAAAATAGTCAGCTTAGTTTTGAATGTGAATAAAATTTAGGCCGATTCCGAGACGAAGATATGTGTTTTATGTAGACCGCAGTTTTATGTTCAGCGGAAGCTCAGTGACTAAGGCTCTGACCCGCTAACCAGGAGGTATTTGTTTGGTTTTCATTGAGCGCAGCGTAGGGGAGGCAAAGTTTATTTGGACAGCGAATAAACCTGGGCTATTTGGATAATGACATGTTTTTATTTCTATGGTTATTTTTTAGAGGAGTAATTTGGTTGGAAGCAATGAGGTCACGAGAGGATGAGTCCTGTGAATATTTATCGTTCCGCGATTTTCCATTATGGAGTTATCCTCCCTTTGCGATAGAGGCTTATTTTTTTTAGCATGGGGTTAATGAGAGAGTGAGAGCTCTACTATTCAACGTCCCGACGCCACTTTCCATTCCGGAGTTATCGCAAAACCGGCTACAGTTTTTTACCGGATAATTCAGCGTGAAGCATTGTTGTTATGAGAAATGAAATGAAATGAAATGGGATTTAACGTCCCACTGTTCTGCTCCTAAACTGGGCTAATTAAAACGGGCATACGCCATACAGTGTGCTATGAGGGAAATTTTGCCCGAGCAGCGGCGCTACGGCGTACTCTTATATCGAATTCCAACTGCCAAGGGATCCTTTACGTGCACGCCAATTTGTACACGGGATCTCGGTTTTTCGTCCCATCCGAACGACTAGACAGCTGTCCTTGTCAGGCCCTCCGTCCTGCATCACTAACAAGGGGAAACCAAGCCGGAAAATCTTTCTCGGCCAATGCGGAGATCGAACACCCGACCTCCAGGCTGGAGCCAGCGTCTTACCTACTTAGCCACCGTGATCCCCTGTTGTTATGAGAAAGCGAACCCTATCAAAAGTGAGGTTTCCACGACTTTCCTTTCCGGATTTATTCCTATTTTTGCCGAATGCTTTGTAAACACGATACAGACTATGCTATGATTTTTCCAATTAAGTGTGAAGAATTGAATGAGCCTTATAGATAATCAGCTTTCCGGAATTACCCCCCCCCCCCCGTCCCATAGTCAGCGTTCTGTGACCTGCCGTATCAGAATTAGTTATACATCCTATATCATCCAGTAGTTGCCAGGCAAGATACGCCTACAGTTTGCAAGAGATGGATAGATTACAAGGTAAATAAAAGGCGAATTTTCGTTCAGTCAGGGGCCATAATCCAGGAAGTTGTGATCTGTAATGCGCGAATTCGAAATGGACTGAGATATTTGGGATATAAAGATATATTTTAAATTTCATCAAAACCGGATAAAAATTGTGACTTCTAGAGAGTCCATAACCTTGGTATTACATACTTTTACACTATTAGTCTACAAAGAGTGCCCATTTTGTCAGACAGTTTTGGTCCGATTTTCACGAAATTCGCACTCAATCGTCATCAGGGTGTAACGGTGATACATTTGAACACTTTGTAAAAATGGATAAAAATTCTGACCTCTAGAGGGAACATAAGTTAAAAAGGTGATTTTTCGTACAATCACGGGCCATAATCCAGGAAATTACGGTCTGATATGCGCAATTATCGCAAGAAACCAAGATCTTTGGATTATAATCATATATTTCAAGTTTCATCAAAATCGGATACACATTGTGGCCTCTAGAGTGTCCACAACCTTCATATACCATATATTAGTCTCTTTAACGTACGGAGGGTCTGGGACCGTTGTCAATATTTAACGAAAAGTTCCACTGCGTACCTTCCAGCAATAAATCTCATCATTCTTTAATTTTTATAAACAAACATGAATTGTGACGACGAATTAGGATTAATTAAAACAAAACCATAGATAGGCACATGAAATTTTACAATGATTTTACGATAATCCATGAAGTTTCGATCCGATACATGTTAATATCGAAAGGAACCGAGATCGTTTGGAGATAAACCTATATTTCAAGTTTCCACAAAATCGGACGGACAGGGGCGACGACAATATACGTCCACATGAAAATATGGGCTATAAAAACCTTATGTACACGATATAGTCTGCAGTTTTTGAAGGATATTTTTTTTTCAATTTGGTGTAAAGCACTGTTGTCACGAGAGGACGGACCCTATCGATATTCAGCGTTTGGCAACCTTTCGCACCAGATTTATTTGCCCGTTTCCGAAAACCCTCCCGGCGTGGTAGAGGCTACAGTTTTTAACATATATATTTCAAACTTTAAACGCGATAGATCCATTCCTTGTCAAATTTGGTCAACGTCGACGTTTTCCTTTGAATAAGCTACTGTCGAGCTTTAGAAAAAGCCATGAAATTTTATTCTTTCTAAACGACACGGTCTTGTCTTGTCAGTCGTATACGGGGAGAAAGAGAAATAAGGTGTAATGTCAACTCATTAAAACTATGTCATTTCGAGATTAACAGTGAGAAGAAACACATTGTCCCGCACAGATGTGATATCGAAACCACGCAACTCGACTCCCGAAATGATCTAGTGGACGTTGAACCGCATTTCTCTCTCAAATAAGGAGCATTTTTGGAAAGGCCAGGCCCGTATCTAACGTATCACACCGGCAACGCCTACGAGACTGTCAAAGGAGATGTTGTTACCCGCACACTGTTAGTCTAATAAATTAATCGGAACTAGAACAATAGGAACTTAGAAAGGCTTTAATAAAAATGAAAGAAACATATATGATACATTATAATTTTTGGTTGGGATAGCTCATTTAAATCCGGGTATCCAGAATTACAAGATTTCGGGACGATTTGTGGTCGTGTAGTAGTAATAAGCACTTACAAAACACTTTCTTCTGAAACGCTTCCTGAGCCAGGATAATAATAATATCCAGTCTACAACTACAAGACACGAAGGCTAAATATACGTAAAACAAACGCTGTTAAAATACTGTCTTGAGCTATGATAATAACCCAGTCTACAAGACGTAAGGGCTATTATTCACATACCTGTATCATTTGCTTGATAAAGACGAGAGTATCCTCGTCGAAGTGCCGCTTAGTATTAAACTCAGTAATTGTGTATCCATAAAATTGTACTTTGTGTTAATATGTTCAATTACTATGTTCATTAGTTCCGAGTGCTACAAATGAGCTACCGTTACAAGTATCACTTAACGTTCGCATGTCTTGCTTCCAGTCCATAAAGAAAGGGGATATCTTTCTGTTCTCAGGATCCTCATCCTGCACATTACTCGTCAGTTGTTTTAAGAGAACTCTTCCCATCAACTCACAGAATATATCTTTCCGGACAGTTTTAAAAGTGCTAATATATGCACCCTTTGAGGTAAATCTTGAGCTTGATTGCGATCAATTAAAAAAATATAGGCCATTATCAAACCTTAGTCTTGGTAAAATAAATTGCTATCACTATGAATAGCTTATCTTGAAACGAATCATTTGGTATAACAATGTCAAAGTGTTTACAGAAACTTCACAACACAAAACGCGCGCTTACATGAGTTCACGATGCTTGTCTTCTTTCACTAGACAATCAATCAAGAATGTATTCTTCTTATTCTTTTGGATTTGTCAACTACGTTTGACACTGTTGACCAAAAGATTCTACCAAAAGGTCTTTATACTGAATTTGGCATCGTTGACCCTATCTGCTGCAGATCTACCGCAATCTTAGCTTGAAAACCGTGGATAATCTGTTGCCATTGGTGATTAAACATCAAAGAAGACTGAACTACTTCAAGAGGTACCACATGGATCTTCTAGGTCCAATTCTGTTTAATCTGTATACTAAATCGCCCGGTTAATTTGTCATGACATATGGCGTCTGTTCCGTCAATATACAGATGACACGCGGTTATATTGTTATTTTAAACCTGAAAATAATAACTTTGATCGTTCAAAATGAAACATCGAAAGTTGTATATTGGCTCTAAACAGCAGCTACAAAAAGTGACCAGGCGCTGTATTCGATGAACATATGGGTAATGTGTGCTACTTATAAGGAAAATTAGCCAGATTAGAAAATATATCACAAACGATGCAACAAACACTTTAATCAATTCGTATGTCACGCCAAGACTAGTATAAATCATTTCAGTTCGTTGTTCAATGGCATTCCTAATGCATTAATTTAAAATTGCAAACTTCACAGCAACTAGGTTAATAACTCAAGCCAAGCTAATGAATGCTTGTTAGTAGAACATTCATTTTTTGTTCAAGCCCCCCTTAAGATATCAGAACTTGTTCGTCGTTGGCGTTGTTTAAGAAAAAAATTCGAAAACGCACCATTCTTAGATAGTCTATGCATTAATGAAATCTATATGATTTCAAAGTTTACATGTATGTCTTATTTGTATTTTAGTTTATTTATATATTTAATTTCTGTACCATATTTTGTAAAGTGCACGTGAGCAACCAGCCGTGGAAGTTTTGCGCTATAAAAGTGTACAATAATACGAAATGAAATGAAATGGGGTTTAACACCCTAATACAATAATACTAATAATAGACATAAAATGGAACCAATTCTTAATATTTTTTAACTTCAGGTCAAGTTATTGGAGAGAATGATGGTGATGATGATCGTGGTGCAGGAGCTTGGCGGCGGTTAGACATACAGTTAGCTGCATATTGCCAATCTTTAAAAGATCAGGGCTTGTTTTCAAATATGTGTGTTGAAGGGTTGGATACTTTAGACAGTGTTTTATAATATGCTAAATCAAATAGTCAGTCAGCTTAGTTTTGAATGTGAATAAAATATATGTGTTTTTTGTAAACCTTTAAAGATGCATTATGTGAGATTTAGATAAAGAGTGGGCTGTTGCAAAACAGGTAATGAAAAGGGAATATATTGAAAATTTCAAATTACTTCTTTCGCACCAGATTTATTTGCCCGTTTCCGAAAACCCTCCCGGCGTGGTAGAGGCTACAGTTTTTAACATATATATTTCAAACTTTAAACGCGATAGATCCATTCCTTGTCAAATTTGGTCAACGTCGACGTTTTCCTTTGAATAAGCTACTGTCGAGCTTTAGAAAAAGCCATGAAATTTTATTCTTTCTAAACGACAC